GGTCAGCCTCCAAGAAAAGCCACGTTCAAAATTTAGGTATCTAGGGCAATGTGTCCTTAGACAGTATATATAGCCAAAACTCATTAAAACACGAAGTATTAGCTTAAATTGCTACGCTAAGCATTTTAATCCCAAACTTTGGATTCTGAAACTAAACATTTTTCCAAGAATTATCATATTTTTATAATATTTTCTGAGCAACTTTCTGGTACGCGCTTTTCATAGCCAGTATCCGTTTCTGGCATAAGTTCTCATTATTTGGACTTGAAACTCGTTTTACAAGTCCTACATATTATTCTAGTAATTATCATGCACTTACATTAATTTTCCAGGATACTTTTTCGGTACGCATTTATACTGACTAACAGAACCGGTATCTGCACTTTTCTTCCGAAAAGCGACTTTCAGCATTCTTAATCACTAAGCATAATTATTAAAGCCTCTTAATAATTATTAGTGTCAATTATGAAATCATTTCCTAATTTTGCATAATTAATTAATTAAAATTCCTTAATTAACGGTGCGGGTTCTTACAGTCTATGTGTCCAAGTGTTTGATTTGTCAGAAAGTAAAGATTGAACACCTGAAATCGACTGGTAAGTTTCAACCTCTTGAGATACCACATCGAAAATGGGAGTGCATTTCCATGGACTTCATAGTGGGATTGCCTAAGACTCAGGCTGGTTGTGACTCTATTTGGGTCATTGTGGAGAGATTGACTAAGTCTGTCCATTTTCTTCCGATAAAGGAGAGCTTCACTACTGTGCAGTTGGCCAGACTTTATGTTCGCGAGATCGTGAGGCTTCACGGGGTGCGCGAGAGTATCATCAGTGATAGGGACCCGAAGTTCACATCTCGGTTCTGGGAGGCACTGTAGGGAGCTTTTGGTACTCAGTTGAGACTGAGTACAGCCTATCACCCTCAGACTGATGGACAGACTGAGCGGACCATCCGACATTGGAGGACATGTTGAGGGCTTGCACATTGGAACAGGGCTCAGCATGGGATAAGTACCTACCATTGGTGGAGTTTTCGTACAACAACAGTTTTCATGATAGCCTGGGCATGGCATCCTACGAGGCGTTGTATGGTAGGAGGAGTCGGACTCCTACCTGTTGGTCTGAGGTTAGAGATAAGGAGTTATTTGGTTTGGACTTTGTCCAAGAGACCACCCAGCAGATCCAGATGATCAGGGAAAAGCTAAAGCAGGCGCAGAATCGCCAGAAGAGTTACTATGATGTCAAGCATCGACCACTGGAGTTCAGTGAGGGTGAGCACGTGTTTGTGAGACTTTCACCTGTCACCAGTGTTGGTCTGGCCCTCAGAGTGAGGAAGCTTCGCCCGAGATTTATAGGGTCATACCAGATTCTTGGTAGTGTAGGGCCTGTTGGCTACCTACTTGGCCAACATCCATGACGTGTTTCACGTGTCTCAGCTTCGGAGGTATATTGCGGATCCTTCGCATGTGGTGCAACCTGATAAGGTGGAATTTCGGGAGAACTTAAAGACTGTCGTCGGACCACTCAAGATTCTCGATCGTGGCGAGAAGAAGCTTAGGAGAAAGATCATTCTTGTGGTCAAGGTGCAATGGGAAGGGAGAACTCCTGAGGAGTGTACTTGAGAACGAGAGGACGAGCTTCTCCGGCAGTACCGCGAGTTTCGGGACAAGTATGTTTCTAATTTTGCGGACAAAATTCTTAGAAGGTGGGGTGAATGTAAGAACCTGCACCGTTAATTTAGGAATTTAATTAAATTAAATATGAGATTAAAGAGATAATTCCATAATTGACGTAGAATAGATATGGGAAAACTTAAATAATTATAGTAAGTGATTAATAATGTTGAAAGTCATTTTTCTGACGGAAAGTGCAGATACCGGTTCTGCTTCACGGTATAAGTGCGTACCGATAAAGTATCCCGGAAAAGTATAAAAAGTATGTATATATTATTAGAATAATATTTAGGACTAGTATGTCTAGTTTAGAGTCGAAATAATGAGAACTGGTGTCAAGTTTTGATATCGGCTATGTAAAAGCGCGTACCGACAAAGTGCTGGAAAAATTATAATAAAAATATGATAAATCCTAGAAAATAGCTAGGTTCAGAATCCAAAGTTTGGGATTAAAATGTTAGCGGAGCTATTATTGCTAATACCAACGCTTAAAACTTAATGAGGCTATAAATACACATTGACACAGAACCTTAGGCTGATCCTTCAGCCTTTTACGTGGGTTTTAGCTGCTGCATTGCTCTCTAAGCTGGTCGCCTTCATCCCTTCCTCTTGTGAGTCAAGTGAGCACCTTTTTATCCAAGTTTCTTCATCTTATCACCGTATCTTGGTGTGAGCAACCTTGGGAGGGTGAGAGTCAGCCCATTTTCTGAGTATGGCCTTTGTTTAGCGGTGGTTTAGGGGTTAAGTTCTTGAGTTTCATAGAGGGAGCCATTGTCTTGGCTTTTGGAGCTTCAAGAAGCCATTTTTATTGAGAAAGAACCTTTCTTGTTAGCCTTTTTCGTGGACCCTTGAAGTCAGAACTTTGGGATTGACTTGTAAGCTCCAAGAGCACTTGTGGTTTCTGTTTTGAGCCTTTGGGGGTATGTTCCTTACTTTTGATCATGAGTTTCCTTGTTAAAGATCAAGTCTTGGCATGAAAAATATAGGATTAAGTAGCTAGCATGATCACTGGTCTAAATGGGTTTAAATATGCATGCTTTAACATATATAAGGGTTAAAAATGGAACCTTGGTTGGATATTTTCGCGAAATGCAGAAACTGCATTCTGTCGCGAAATATTCGAATATGATATCCGGATATTGATATCTGGATATGGGCTTGGTGATATACGGATATGGATATTCGGATATGATATCCAGATATGGCCCTGTGAGATATCCGGATATTCTGGGAATTTTGAGTTAGGTATTGTTCTGTTTATACAGAATTGAATATTGGGTTTATGGACCCATAATTGGTTAAGTTGAACCTCTGTAATAATTGAACTAAGTCAGAATCACTTAGATTAAGGGCTTATGGCTTTCGGAGAAGCCTAATGGCATGAAACGTAAAAGGAAACGTTGTCGTTATGTCATAAACTATTAGATTGTAAATGTTGATATGATTGCTGGTTTAACCCGACCGTGAGAGTGCTGTTTGTGGACCTTGGGCATTGTGGACCTTTGACTTGGGATTGATTGCTTGAGAGGTAAGATTTCGTGTCTTCGGTTTTTCCCATTGTTGGTTCCACCATACCTCATGGAGGGATGGTTTATATGCAAGATTGATGGTCCTCAAAAGTTGAGGTCCATTAAGTATATATCACTCCAGAAAACCCCTGTTTTGGTCACAAATCACTCTCTTTAACCTTCTTTTTCCATGAAGAGCAATTGTCTTGAAAAGTGGACCAGAGCAATTCTTGAAATGGGAATTAGAGTAGACCTGGAGCAAATTGACATTATCTTTTTCACATATGATTATTGGGTTGATTTGTTTTGATCAGGAAACCTGAGACCTAACAGAAGGGCCCACACATTAAGGAAAAGAAGGAAGAATGCTGCGCAGGAGGGAGCATAAAAGCCTGCTACAGTACAAAAGCAGTAAAAGGAAGCAATCAGGAGCCTCCACGTCAGCCACAGCAGAGAAGGTGGAGGTGTCTCCCTGATTCCGAAATTCTCACCCGAGAAAAAGCACCAAAAGCAAGGGGGACCACTGCCATGCAGAGTTGAGCTGGCAGAGATCAGACCGGCTATTGGAGAGGATTTGAAGAAGGCACAACCCTTGATGAAAGGGACGATGATATTTTTCTTTTGTAATGCTCACTAGGAGCTAACTTCCTCTAAGTAGGTGAGGGTTCCATAGAAGTAATCCCTTTTGTCTTAGGATAACTTTGTAAGGAACACATATTTTATGAATGAATTTTGAGCTGTTCTTTGGTTTAATATATTGATTCTGTGAAACCCTTTGGGCTGGCAACCTCATCCTGGGACCACTCGGTCGATGAAACACTGACAAGGGCATGCGGAGCAGTCTCAAGATCTTGGGGTAGTCCAGCCTGAAGAAAGGAGGGAGGAACACCTGGAATGAAGAGCACTACCATGTGAATCCATGCTCTTTTGAGAAGGCAGCATGGTTTCCTTGAATTTAACTCTAAGTTCTACGGAGTAGTGTGGAGAGTAAGGCCTTGCTATTTTACTTACTTGTGGCAAAATGAGGAAAGGAGCAGAATCCATTTTTAAAATATGCTACCAAGCAGGGTTAACCAAAGGGATGAAAATATGGAATCCGAAACACCTACTTAACTCTTTCTAAACTCAATCTCACATCAAACTTTTGTTATAACTTTCTTCACGACAACCAAATTGTGCTTATATGTTGCTGCTTTTATAATCACTTCACTAATTTCTTTTGAGTTACATTAATTTGATGCCTTGATATTCGATGACTATGCTAAGTTATTCACTGCTCTCATCTAGTTCAGAACGGTTAACACTGTTTAACTAGCTGGGTAGAGATTTCTCCTTGTGAAGCTTGGTTGAGAATAACTACTTTCCTTTCATTTTTGTAGAATTAAATTTCCCTGAACGATTCTTTCTTCACAACTGCTCCCTGAGGACGATAAATCTTGGGCTAACAACACCCTGTATTGCTTGACACGTACGCTTGCGTATAGTTGAAGAGGGTTGCTCTCCGTCAGAGTAGATTGCTCCTACTTGCAATCTCGATTATCACTCTGTATTATTGCTCCTTAAACATATCCCTTAGCAGCTCTCGGTCGACCAAGCAAATGGCGCCGTTGCCGGGGATCATTTGGCAAGAAAGGGCATTTTTTAAGGAAACATTGTTGTTTGTGTTTTTGAAATCTTTTTTGTTTTTATTGTGTTTGACTTCTTCCTATTGTATGAGCACAGAACCTACAGAACTTGGACTGGAAATAGTACATTTTGATCCAGAACCCGAGAGAACCTGCAGAAATAGAAGAAGAGTTCAAAGGTTAAGAAATAATACAATGGAGGAAGTTCTAAATAATGGTGAAGGGGGAGATCTTTTGGATTTTACTTATCCGGAAACCTACCGGTTGTTGGAAAAACTTTCAAAAAAACATGTTCAATGGCCTTCCACACGGAACAATGCTTCCAAGAAAGCAGGAGTTCTTGAGCTAAGCTCAACTGATGCTCTTTCAGCACAGATGGCTTCGCTCCAGAATACTATAAAAAATTGGAAGCCCATGGAACAGAAAAAACCAACCGAGCAACTTCTCTTGACTCAATCAAGTCAAAGTTGCTCCATTTGTGGAGGTCCTCATGAATCTGAGGACTGTAACAATTTGGACGATGTGTGTTATGCAGTGGTTACGATAATAACAACAGGAGCAATGATAATTATCAAGGGAACAACAACCGGGGATGGAAAAGTCAGAATAATGCTGGAGGTAGTGGAGGAAACTACCAGAATCGACCCCCATATCCCAGGCAGAACCATCAAAACTGGGATAAGGGCGAAGGGAAGTCCCAATCCTTTGAGACTTTTGTCAAGGAATACATGAATCAAAACAGTGCAGCCATGAGGAGCCTGGAGACCCAAATTGGTCAGTTGGCTGGAGCACTCAAACAGAGATAACCAGGGACACTCCCTAATGACACAGAAAAACCGTCCTAGGAAAACCAGGAGCGTTGTAATGCTATAAGCTTACGAGATGGAAAACTCTACCACCTCCAGATTTAGTGGCACGATCTCGTAAACGCGAACTAGCAAGACAACTTATGGAAGAAGGAGTTGAGGAAGCTACTGACCCTCAACCCCTTGAAGCTCAGACAGAATCAAGGGAGAAGGTCCAGAATGATGATCTCACTGAAGTCACACCAGTTGCCACAACATCTGGAGCAGATGTTGGAGCAATGAAAGACAATGAACCAGTTTCAGTCCCAACTTATGTTCCACCATGCAAAAGGAGGAGTGAACCAATTGAGCCTCATTTTCCACAGAGGTTAAAAAAACAACATGAAGATAAGCAGTTTAGCAAGTTTTTAGACTTGTTGAAACAACTTCACATAAATGTCCCTCTGGTGGAGGCTCTGGAACAAATGCCTTCGTATGCAAAATTTATGAAGGACGTTTTGTCAAAAAAAAGAAGGATTGAGGAATTTGAGACTGTAGCCCTCACTAAAGAATCATGCAATTACCTGACTGAGATTCCTCCCAAACTGAAGGACCTTGGAATATTCACCATCCCATGTACAGTTAGGAAGAACTACCTTGGTCGAGCACTTTGTGATCTGGGCTCGAGTGTAAATTTAATGCCAGCTTCTATCTTCAAACAGCTTGACATAGGAGCAGCAAGACCAACCACAGTCACTCTTCAGCTTGCAGACCGATCCATAGCCAAGCCAGAAGGAAAAATCGAGAATGTCCTTGTCCAAGTAGACAAGTTCATTCTACCAGCTGACTTCATCAACTTGGATTTTGAAGCAGACCAAGAAGTTCCAATAATTCTGGGCAGACCATTCTTGGCCACTGGTGATGCTGTCATAAACGTCAGGAAAGGCGAACTGTCAATGAGTGTAAATGGAGAGGAGGTGAAGTTCAATGTCATGAAAGCAATGAAGTTTGATGTAGATAGCACTGAGGAGTGCTCTAGCATTTCAACTCTTGAATTGATCATAATAGAAGAACAGCAGGAGCAGTTGCAGTCAGAAATAGGCATGAAAGACTTTAACGAATTGGAAGAATACCTTGCGTCCATTAATTCCATTCATACTGGGGACAAGAAAGAAAGGATCTTTGAATCCTTGAACCGATCGGAGCAAGAGCAAATACCAAATTTGCCCTCAGTAGAGCAACCGCCTACCTTGGAGTTAAAGCCTTTACCTGAACACCTGAAGTATATTTATTTGGGTAAAGAAAACACTCTCCCTGTGATTATTTCTTCTTTACTAACCCATGAACAGGAACTTCAGCTCACATAGAAGCTTAAAGACTACAAAGAAGCAATCGAGTGGACCATGGCTGATATAAAGGGAACACGATTCCAATGTGCAAGTTCACATCTCGGTTCTGGGAGGCACTGTAGGGAGCTTTTGGTACTCAGTTGAGACTGAGTACAGCCTATCACCCTCAGACTGATGGACAGACTGAGCGGACCATCCAGACATTGGAGGACATGTTGAGGGCTTGCACATTGGAACAGGGCTCAGCATGGGATAAGTACCTACCATTGGTGGAGTTTTCGTACAACAACAGTTTTCATGATAGCCTGGGCATGACACCCTACGAGGCGTTGTATGGTAGGAGGAGTCGGACTCCTACATGTTGGTTTGAGGTTAGAGATAAAGAGTTATTTGGTTTGGACTTTGTCCAAGAGACCACCCAGCAGATCCAGATGATCAGGGAAAAGCTAAAGCAGGTGCAGAATCGCCAGAAGAGTTACTATGATGTCAAGCATCGACCACTGGAGTTCAGTGAGGGTGAGCACGTTTTTGTGAGACTTTCATCTGTCACCGGTGTTGGTCGGGCCCTCGGAGTGAGGAAGCTTAGCCCGAGATTTATAGGGTCATACCAAATTCTTGGTAGTGTAGGGCCTGTTGGCTACCGGCTTGCCTTGCCTCCGAACTTGGCCAACATCCGTGACGTGTTTCACGTGTCTCATCTTCGAAGGTATATTGCGGATCCTTTGCACGTGGTGCAACCTGATGAGGTGGAAGTTTGGGAGAACTTAAAGACTCCCGTCACCACTCAAGATTCTTGATTGTGGCGAGAGGAAGCTTGGGAGCAAGATCATTCTTTTGGTCAAGGTGCAATGAGAAGGAAGAACTCCTAAGGAGTGTACTTGGGAACGAGAGGACGAGCTTCTCCGGCAGTACCCCGAGTTTCGGGACATGTATGTTTCTAATTTTGCGGACAAAATTCTTAAAAGGTGGGGTGAATGTAAGAACTCGCACCGTTAATTTAGGAATTTAATTAAATTTAATATGAGATTAAAAAGATAATTCCATAATTGACGTAGATTAGATATGGGAAAGCTTAAATAATTATAGTAAGTGATTAATAATGTTGAAAGTCGATTTTCTGACAAAATGTGCAGATACCGGTTCTGCTTCACGGTATAAGTGCGTACCGATGAAATATTCCAAAAAAGTATAAAGAGTATGTATATATTACTAGAATAATATTTAGGACTAGTATCTCCAGTTTAGAGTCGAAATAATGAGAACTGGTGTGAGGACTGATATCGGCTACGTAAAAGCGTGTACCGGCAAAATGCTGCGAAAATTATAAAAAAAATATGATAAATCCTAGAAAAATAGCTAGGTTCAGAATCCAAAGTTTGGGATTAAAATGTTAAGCGGAGCTATTATTGCTAATACCGACGCTTAAAACTTAATGAGGCTATAAATACACATTGACATAGAACCCTAGGTTGATCCTTCGCCCTTTTACGTGGGTTTTAGGTGCTGCATTGTTCTCTAAGCTGGTCGCCTTCTTCCCTTCCTCTTGTGAGTCAAGTGAGCACCTTTTTGTCCAAGTTTCTTCATCTTATCACCATAACTTGGTGTGAGCAACCTTGTGAGGGTGAGAGTCAGCCCATTTTCTGAGTATGGCCTCTGTTTAGTGGTGGTTTAGGGGTTGAGTTCTTGAGTTTCATGGAGGGAGCCATTGTCTTGGCTTTTGGAGCTTCAAGAAGCCTTTTTTATTGAGAAAGGACCTTGCTTGTTAGCCTTTTTCGTGGACCCTTGAAGTTAGAGCTTTGGGACTGACTTGTGAGCTCCAAGAGCACTTGTGGTTTCTGTTTTGAGCCTTGGGGGTATGTTCCTCACCTTTTATCATGAGTTTCCTTGTTGAAGATCAAGTCTTGGCATGAAAAATGATAGGATTAAGTAGCTAGCATGATCACTGGCCTAAATGAGTTTAAAGATGCATGCTTTAACGTGTATAAGTGTTAAAAATGGAACCTCGGTTGGATATTTTCGCGAAATGCAGAAACATCATTATGTCGCAAAATATCCAGATATGATATCTGGATATAGGCTTGGTGATATCCGGATATGGATATCCGGATATGATATCCAGATTTGGATATCCGGAAATGGCCTCGTGATATATCCGGATATTCTGGGAATTTCGAGTTGGGTACTGTTTTGTTCATACAGAATTGAATATTGGTTTATGGACCCATAATTGGATAAGTTGAATCTCTGTAATAATTGAACTAAGTCACAATCACTTAGATTAAGGGCTTATGGCTTTGGGAGAAGCCTAATGGCATGAAACGTAAAAGGAAACGTTGCCGATATGTCATAAACTATTAGATTGTGAATGTTGATATGATTGCTGGTTTAAACAGACCGTGAGAGTGCTGTTTGTGGACCTTAGGCGATTGTGGACCTTTGACTTGGGATTGATTGTTTGAGAGGTAAGCTTTCGTGTCTTCGGTTTTTCCCATTGTTGGTTCCACCATACCTCATGGAGGGATGGTTTATATGCATGATGTCTTTTCATGAAATGATATTTGAAATGCTATTGAGTTGTTAAGTGGAAGTGCCTCATGATATATATGTGGTGTTCCACCTAGACGGTAAGCCTGAGTATGTAGCGTCATACAAGATGGTGATTCTGTGGGTGTGTACAAGTAGCGTCTTGTACTGTAGGTTGTAGACGTATATAATTCCTACATGTTCTCTGGCCAGTAGGATTCTGACACACATGACATGATTATATGCTGTATTGCACAGATTTTGGAACTTATACTGTTTTACTGTTTTAGAACTTATATTGCACATGTAAGTGAGCTTGGGTGGAGAGATCCTTGAGGACCCCTTGTCTTACTGAGATTTCCTTTTAGAGATCTCACCCCACGTTGGGGCACATTTTCAGGTTCAGGTACCTCGGGGGTTGAGACCTCGGGTGGCAGGAGACCAGAGTTGAGTTGATTATGCATGTTGACTGCTGATATGCATTCTTAGTGATTATGCGTAATTTCCATTATATTGTTATTTGAGCTGAGACTATGTTGGGCTTTTTTTCCTTATTTGGTGAGCATAGGGGTTGTCCATGCCACGTTGTCTTGACTATCTTTATTTAGACTTGAGCTGTATAATGTATCAGGATTATTATCCAGACTACGTGTTGTAGTTCCGTGATTAGATACACATTTATTTAATGAGGTTATTCATTTAGTTTTATTGCAATTTACATACAGGCATTATCTTGCAAAAGGATTAAGTAATCCACTTGGTTAATAATAATGAAGTCATAATTAAAAAGAAAAAGTTAGCTTCCGCAATTAATTAGTTGCGCTACTGCCATATGTATGTTTAATACACCGGGTGCACACAGGGTGTTACATTTTATGGTATCAGAGCACTTTTTAGGGGGAAAAAACCTGTATGTGTTATAATAACTTAGGATGCTTTGCTGTGTGTTTTCTCTTGTGTGTTTCTCTTTTGGGTTTACTATGATGATGCATGCGTGACCACATTGCGTGGGCCTGATCAACTCATTCTTTGTGTAACCTGTGCAGAGTCATGGTGCTACCTCGGAGGGACTGAGAGACTAGAGAGGGTCAGCCTGACCCGGTCCTGACTGCGTTAGCTGAGATGCAGGCGGCTCGACAAGCCGACCAGGAGGCCATTAGAGTGGCCAACCAGGCAATGCTGGACGCCGTGAGAGAGGCGAACAGGAAAGCCACTGAGCATGTGCTGAAGGCAAGCTGCCTGGCGAACATGACCATGATGAGGGTCATGTTGGAGGAGATGAGGACTGGTCATGCTGGTGGCCAGCATCCTCCGCCACCACCTCCGCCGCTACCACCACCGCTACCGCCACCGCCTGTATGTAAAATACACCCATAATTTTATGTCTATGTGTTGAAGCCCTTCCGTGGAGACCGCAAAGACTTGATCCCTACGCTTAAGCGATAAATCAGTGAACGTCCCGGTGAAACTGCTCTAATACTATAAATGTAACACCCCGTAGTACTCCGGTTGTTAACATCATGCTATTATAGCGTACACAGCGGAAGATTTTATTTAAATATTAATAAAACGTCTTGTAAAAATTCGAATAAACTTTTTCCAAAACATTTTATGAAAACATTTCTAAAAAGGTTCACGTGAGATACCGCGAAAGCGTACATTGAGAACATACATCTACTAATTACTCCCATTAGCCAGTATTAGTGGCCATTGACTAACCGGATATGACAACAAGTGTCATTCCTGCCAGAGTCTCACGAACAACATAACAGTTGTTTAACGGATAATTGAGAGATAGGAGTCGCACGCACAAGTACACCTGATAGACATAATTATATAACAGACAACTTGCAAGTCCCACACGGGCTGCAATCCCCATCTAGGGTCAGTACATACATAATGGCTCTGTGCCCAAATTAATAAATCCATACATCATGTCTATATGTCCTCATCATATGCATCTAACATAACTTGTAACAATTACAAACATAATCCAGAAGCTCAATTAATAACAATCCTGAGCATTATTACATACAGCACATAGTCTCAAAATAAACTAACTAGGCATGTCGAAACACTACACATGCTACATAACAACGTAACAACATAAAATAAACAGCAGCAACAATCCACTAATCCGTAAGTGGGCCTTTGCCCTTAGACTGCACACTGCTACTATGGGTACCTGAAATGATGTCCCCAAAAAGGGGTGAGATAACAATATCTTAGTAAGCTCAAGGTTCTTAGAGGATCCTCAAATCCCCTGAGTCCACTTCCTGCATGACAAGTCAGATATAAAGCATATATACAAACATACAACATAAACATAGCATCATACATCATCCTCTGGTTAACTATTCAAGGGCTCTCCCCAAGAATAGCTAACTGACATGTCCAACATGCCTAGTGTGACTTCCAGGGTCAAGCCATAGACAATCAACACAAATCGTAGTATGAAATAACTCCCAGGGTCAAGCCATAGGCAGCCTACATAC